CACAGGTCTCAGCCCTGCCCCCCGGCCCGAGCCCTCGCGCGGATTCCCCGCACCCGCCGAAAGTGTACGGGCCTACAGACCCGCTGCTTGCCTCATGCCTCTAGCCGCCGCAGTACGTACCCGACCGCCGACGTCCCGACGGCTTCGCCCGCTCTGGCTTCGCACCGGAAGCCCTGGGTAACTGCTGCCGGCAGAGCCGCCTGCTTGCGCCGCGGCCAATCAATAGCCGGCGCTCGCGCGGGGCTTGCTGGGAAAGATGAAGCAAAGGCGGCCTCCGAGGCGGGGAAGTTGGGAAGGCGGGGGAGGGAAAGGACTACAAGTCCCTCCATGCATCCCGGCTGACCCCGACTCCCAAGATGCAACAGGGCTTTGGTCCTCAGAGCCTCAGACCCAGGAGTTCCGAAAGCAGCCAGTCATTCTGCACAGATACGTCAACGTCGTTTCTGTCACGCAGAAGCTGTGATTCAGATCCCACAGCCTTGCATGCCTGGCTGCTTTTTAGTGCACGCTGCCACCACCCCTTTCCTCCTGCTGTGAACATCTACGACTCTAGGAACTCTGAGAACAAGGGACGAAATACTGATACACACATCAGGAGACCTGTATTCCAGTCCTATCTTCGTTACTAATTTGCCGTGTGACCCGGCATTCCTTTCTCTCCCAGGTCCTCAATTTCCGTATTCAAAAAGAAACTTTTAATTACAGTAGTTCTTTGAACCCTTGCTTTCCCGGTATCCACTAGTTTAATCCTCATAACTGCTCAAGATAAATATTATGCTACTTGTTATTCCCAGTTTACAGCTGAGGACTGTAAGACAAAGGTTAGACTTGTCCAAGGTCATACCTCTATGGACTGATGAGAGCATATTCAAAGCTAGGAAGTCTGGCACCCATCTCTACTCGAGTGCCCTTCCTCTCAGAAGAAATAACCACCATGGCACGCTTGCACTGAGGATGAGTCAAAGTAACTTGTGAAAGGAGTTATTTTTCCATTTCCATTACCAGCTTGAGTCCTTCTTTGGAAGGTGCTGGAGGAAGTCCTGCAAAGGGAATTCTGGCCTCAGCAGGTTCCTGAGCCTTTTCTCTGGCTGGCCTACCCTCTACAGAGTCCCAGTTGCACTGGGACTAAAGAGGGGGAAAAAAGCCAAGCTTTTCTCCAAATGTGAGGTCACAGTTCTTTACCCATTTGTCTATAGATAATGGAATATAAACCAACAATCCATGTGCCTGGAATTTAATGTCTAAATGGTTTGGCTTCCATTTCCAGCCAGTCCTCCCATCCTCTCTGCCTTTTTTGTTTCAGCTATACTTTTACTATTTCCAGGATTTCCCAGGTTTTTGCAGGTGCTATTTCACATTCCAAAATGTCTTCCTTGGCAAAACAAAATCTTTTGAGGCCCACCCAGCTCAAAGGTCACTTCAGAGCTTTTTCAGTGCTCTGCAGTCTGTCTTAGCTCCCTAGTCTGGATAGAGTTCTATTACAGCATTAGTGATGAGATGTTGAAATTATTTGCTTACAAGTCACTGAACATTGCAAGAACTGTTGGCTAAATTCTCTAGTCTTAAAGCCTAGCATCTATCTGGGGGAAGATGTTTTAAACTGTTGTGCAAATTGGGTGTTGTTTTAGAGTTCGTAAGATGTTAAACATTTCCCCCAGTTGAGACTTCAGGGCAGTGTTTACCAGCTAACGTTGAGAGGCAAAGCTGGTGTAACAGTATAACGGTGGAACACAAGCTCAGAAAGTTTTGGAATCCAGGTCTCTCAAAACTAAGGCCCTATTTGCAGAAAAGCTGTTGGAAATCTCTTGAGGAGGTAACATAAATATCAAGCCTTGATGGATTTCCATAGGAAGAGGGTGTTCTCAACGGAAGTAAAGAACATTAATGAGCAAGAACAAGGTCTGCATGGGGTATGGAGTGCAGTGGGAAGGGTCAAGGGTGGCCTACAGGGGCCTGCTGGGTAATGAGTAGAACAGGCAGGCAAGCAGTAAGAAAATTTGATAGAAACATGGGTTAAAAAGTTACTTTCTCCTTTGCTGTAAGAGAAGATAGCAACAATGTTAGCACCTGTCACAGCCCATCAGGGAACCCACTGGGAATGGTGGTGACTGGTAATAGAGTTCTTACAGATTGTTTTCAAGCAGAAACTCAGGCTCAGTGGTGCCGGATATTTTAATAGATAGGTACATCTTTCTTTGGTGATGAATTAAAACTCAAAACATACTATTGGCCAACCAACGTCCTCCTTTTGGGTTGTTACCAACTTTTTGGCTGCTAGTCTATAATCCTTGCTTTAGGAATTGATCTAAACCAAAGAGAGTAGTTTGTGAACTAAATGACCTTGATGGGCTCAAAGGGCTGTGGCGTGATGAAATGATGCAAAAATCCTTTAGAGAAAACTCTAGAAAATGCAAACAAAACCATAGTGACAGAACTCTGACCAGTGGTTGCTTAGGGGTTAGGCAAGCAGGAAGGATTCCAAAGGGGCACGTGGAAACTTCTAGAGGTGATGGATGTTCACTATCTTGATTGTGGTGATGGTTTCATGGGTGCATATATGTCAACACTTAACAAATTGTTTAAGTATGTATCATTTACTGTATGTCCATTATATTTCAATAAAGCTGATTTAAAAAATTCCTTATGGCAGAAGCAGGCTGTTGCAATTCTTAATTCCACTGGTAGGCAGCAAATTTAAACATCTTCTCTCCACTGACTTCCAAAAAATTCAGTCTTGGATCATTCCAAAGAAGACAATTTAGAACTTTGCAACAGGTTTTTATTTTTGCTTTGTATCTATTACAGTGTTTGAAACCTAAAGAAATACATCGTCTCTTCAAATTTGGATGTGTATATAAATATCGTTTGTCTGGACTCAGCACACTCAATGCCATGGTTTCTTGGCCTATATCTGCTCTGAAATCATCAAACTTTGTCTGTCTACCCAGGGGCCCTGAGAACATGGAAAACAATAGCCAGAGTTTATAGTTCTTAAAAGCAAATAAATTTGGAAAGAAAAACCAGTGAGGAAAAAGGTTTGTTTCACCTTCCTAGGGTCTGTAGCTGGGAACCCAAGCTGTTTTTGAGGGACATCTCTTCTGTCTTGAGTGGCTCTGCTTTGCTTCTTTAGAGGCTCAAAGGCAATTCCCACAAAAGCTAGCTAGAAGAGCCAATACCCAGCTCCAAGGCCTGAGGGTTCTCGTCATGGCAGAGTTGTCTCTTCCCAAACCCAGGGGCTGGACATATGACCTACGTAGGGGAGCAGGACTAGGTCTAGCAGAGGGGTTCAGGTATGTGCTGATGTGGACCTCACCAGTCAGGCTGGCCCAGAAGCAGTGAGGTGGGCCCAGACCCACTGAAGACCTTTATGACGCACTACTCAAACCTTTCTCCTGGAGTGTTCTGGGCCCCAAATTTAATGGTCCTTCTTCTCATTCACACCCAGTTTTGATTCTGCACATAGCCCAGGCCTGATGGAGAATGCCCTCTCAGAGGAAAACTAACAGCTTTAATTCAAAGACTGAGTTGGTACTGACCTCAGATTCTTCCCTTACCATGGTCCTAATCTGGGCATGGGGCTAGGGAACAGACAATAGGATGACTGCATCATTTATGAAGGCCTTGGCCAGAGAGCAGCTATTGCCTACCATATGGGTCCCCACAGGGTCAAATTCTCAGCTTATTGGCTTAACAAAAAATACAAAAGACAAAAAAAAAATATTGGACAAGACTGGTCTAGAATGTACAATCCTAAAACAGCTGTGGAAGAAACCTACTCTGAGCTATTTCTCAGTCTCACATGCACTTATTTCCAGGCTAGTCTTACCTAGATGTTGCTACTGGTTGTGAGCATTGCCTATGGTTCACTGCACTGAGCCTGGTACCCTTCCCTGGCCTGCCAGGGAGGCAGACAGGCACACATTCCTGAGGACCCCAGCCAGCCTGTTCTCCCAATGGGTCACTGCAGTGCCTGCAGGTACCTGGTGAATCTGGCTCCTCGCCTTCAACTAAGAATTCAGAACCCGAGCCCACAAGATAAATCTACTGAGGAGTATCACAGATGTTGGATACCAGGCTGAATAAGTCTTGGGGAGAAGAGATGTGGGAAGAGGAGGGAAGTATTGCTAGGCATTCATCTTCTTCCCCTCTAGTTTGCTAGAAACAGGAGTAACTATAGAGTGTAGTGCGAAGGCAGGTAGACAGTGAGAAAATGGAAATCCAGTCCATTCTGCTAGTTTTCAATTTAAACTGGTTTGGCTTGAGGGAAATTGAAAGTTTGCCTGGAAGCCTTCTTTCACTCTTCCTTTACTAAGTATGGTAGCAGCTATAATCTGTGCAATTTAGCTCCAAAATATAGGGCTCCTGGAAAAGGCTTCCAAGGAAAAGAGAACAGAAGTAGATCTAAGGGTTCTAGGTAAGTGGGAACACAAAGGATCCCTGAAAGCTGAAGCCATCAACACCTGTTTCTTTGAAGGGTCATTTGTACCCACTGTCCCAAGTAACCTGGCTGGCCAGCTGAGAGTGGAACCCATTTGATTCTCTACCAGAAGGTTGCAGCCAACACCAAGGCCAGTCAGTCACTAGCAATAACTCAGAACTGAAGATCAGAGACACAGTTAGTACTAGAGAAGATGGTTTAGGGTGGGATGCCCTGAGGGACTGGCAATAAAGAGTAGCTGGCACTGTTCAAAACACTATTTGAAAATTTTAGCTGAAAAAAAGACTCCTTGACCCCTTAATCCACACCTAAATATCTCCAACATACCAGAGATCTTAAAACGGACGTACTAGCCATGCATCAAAATATTAAGATTCCCAAAAAACGTCTTACCAGGCTATTCCCTACACGGGCTGGGGAGCCCCTCCATCCCTCTAACATCCATTCAGAAATCTGCCAGAACGCCTCTGACCTCACCTAGGCCAGGGTCTGGAGTCCAGATGGGGGCTGCCCATGAAGAATGGCTGTCATGCCTGGGCTAAAAAAAAGAAATAATATTTTTGCTTCCTAAGATGGCCAAAGGAGAGGAGACAAAAGATGATGTTACTGCCTCTGTGGGCTGGAAGAACTTCATCTGTTGACTGAAAGGGGGTCAGGGGAAGATGAGAAAACATGGTCTGAGGAGGACACTAACAAAGGAAAGCTCCTAGAGATCACGTTTATTTGATGAGAAATTTGTCCTCATGTTGCACCTTGGGAGACTTCAGCCTTTGGAGTCCTTGTAGAAAACAGGCTTTACGCAGTAGCCAGGTGATCAAAAAAGTCTCCCATCTGGTACCCGGCCCAGATCTGAAGTGAAAGTAAATTTTGGAGGAACAGTTGGGGAAGGCAGGGACTTAACTATTGCTTGAGATGTACAAAATAGATCTTACTAAATGTTCTGCTCTTTGGACAAGGACAAGGGGTGGGGTGGGTGGATTTCCTTTGAACTATAAGAAAATAACTTTGTAATGGAGTCAGCAGGCCAAGCTGCCCCTTGCCTACCTGGGAGACTGGGGGTTGGTAGTCATCATTCCGAAGCCAAAAAGTAACATTTGACTCAGGTGGTACAGCAGTGGTGAGACTTTTCAGTTGTAACCACTAGTTCCAACCACCTTTCTCAGAAAATGGCTCTGGAGTTGGATCTCAACACTTGGGGCAAATTCAGGATCAATGGCCAAAAGCACTTGAACTTTTTATCTGTAAGCAGAGTGGCATGAATTTCACCTGAGCCAGAGGAGGGATGTGTAGGAACGGGAGCAAGAATGGCATTGCTTCTGGGGAAGGGAAATATAGCTTGGAACAGGGCATCTCTGACCGACCTCTGTGGGGAAGCAGGGGCAGGGCAGATTGTGCCTTCAGCTCCACCACTAGCTCCACACTTGGCCAACTTCTTCCACCCCACCCCCAACAACTGGGCTTTACTATCATGTGTGATCCACTGATGCATCCAGGCAAGCCACCGAGGCACTGCAGTAGCTCTACTCAAAGGGAAAAGAAAAGGCATCAGGATTACAATTGTCACAGGAAGAGCAAAACCCAAATCATATACAAAGATCCCAATCAGGGAAGGTATCAATCCCTCTCACAGAAGTCCTGAGGCTGCTGAATTTCTGTGGTAACAGGAGGAGCAGCCATCTGTGAAACTTACATGGACAAGGGTCCTCTGAGACAGAATCTGAGGAGGCAGACTGCTTTCTGGATTCCCTGATGCAATCAGAAACTTACATGGACAAGGGTCCTCTGAGACAGAATCTGAGGAGGCAGACTGCTTTCTGGATTCCCTGATGCAATCAGGATGCTCAGCAGCAAGGACTCAGTGGTAGACTTCACCAGGCCCTGGGGCCGTCCTTTGCTCCCTTCAGGTACTGGGACAATCAGACCAGGATTACTGGCTACAAAGGTTCCAGAGCTAAGGGCTGGCCCCAGGTGGTGGCCCAGAACCCAAGCACAGAGGAAAAGGACCAAGGTCAGGCTTCCTGAGCGAAGAAGCTTCTACATCTCTTTTTGGTCTTCCTCACAGTATCCTACTCACAAAAATTACAGAGACAGTTCTTCCTCTTGAGACCAATTAAGATTGATCTACCTAATATATAGAATATAAAAAAATACAGAACTTTTTGACATTCTCTCCTTTGGAAGTAAAATATACATGATCCAACTATGGAAGAGGAAGAAGAAGAAGAAAGGCCAAAGGCAGGGATCTGTGGCTATCCCAACACATGACACTCTCACTCCAACCTCCTCTGCAACTTAGATGGGTCACCAGAGCAAGAACTTTCTCCTCAGGAGAAAGGAAGGACCACAGCCCCCTGTCGCATGCTTAGGAGAAAATACAGCTACCTCAGAGGTTCAATTCAACTCTGAGGGGAATTTTCAAGTAAACAAATGAAGTTGGGTTGCACCATTGGAAGGTGGGTAGGACACACGGGATCAGTAGCGACACATGGGAAGCCCCGTCTGAAGGCCTGTGCTCCTCCCCCCTCACTCCCACTGGTGTACATGCCCAGGGAGAGTGAAGGGGAGCTCCCAAACTAAAGAGGTCTGGGCAAGGGGTCAGAGAGAGGGAGGGGTCTTTGTCTCATGGTGACCTCCCCCTTAGCCTCTAGACCCAGACAATGCTGGCAGCTGGGATTCCTAAAACCAGGAACTCATGGCTCTTGGAAAGAGCAATCTTAATACAAGAAAAATGTGCAAAAGAAAAAATTAAATAACTCAATCCAAGCATACAAGATTAATATTCTGTCAGAGCAAGAACACTTTGTTTTGGATTTCTCCCCTCCCCTCCCACCCCCCTCCCCATCTCTGGAATATTCCATCTGCTCAAGTACCCAAGATAAGAGTTACACAGATCAGGGCAGAGGACTGGGAAGGATGAAGGAAGATAAAAGGAAGGAAGTCACCACTAAAGAAAAAAAATAAAATAAAAAAGGTGCAAAATTGATTACCTCAGTCCTCCTTTGTCTACCCTTGGGCTCCTGGGTTAAAGACATTATGTGCAGCCAAAATATAGTGTAAGGAAGAAAAACCCAACACGTCCCCTTCTCGTCACAAAACCCAAATGTGAGCCTCAGATGGTTCTGTCTGTCCAGAGGGTGCTCCCTCCAGGGAAGGGGGTGGAGCAGGGCAAGAGCACAGTTTCCAGGGCAGCAGAGGTGTGTGGTGGCTGACGATGGGGGGCTGGTATCCCGCCCACCAGAGGGCTGCTTTTCCGCTGGTTGGTGGTGCTTCCCATCCCCTCCCCTCCCCGGAGGCAGACATTATAGCTGGAAGCCCTCCATGGGGGCCTCAGGCTGTTGGAAGATGAACTGCTGTTGCGTTTCATCCACCTGGGGAGCCAGGCTGCTGTCATCATCTTCTACGCCAAAGTAGTGCTCAATGAGGTCGAAGGCCTTCTGGTAGATCTCCTGGTTCTCGTGGCTCTGGAGAAATTCAATTTTATCCAAGCCTATGGTGACAAGAAGGAAGATGAGTAAACTCTAAGAGGTTTTCCATGAGTCTATGAAACATTCATCTATTTTTCTTTTCCTGAGGTATATTAGTGTTTATAAACACAAATAATATGATCAGATCTCTCTTTGACTTGAAACTACATAATCCCAAAGGAAAAAGACCAAAATGTCAGTTACAAATCAGAGATTCTAGCCCTGATTCTGCTTTTAACTACCTGTGTGACCTGGGCAAATCTGAATCTCTTGGAGTCGAGTGATGAGTCACTCCAGCACTCTTAACAGAACTTGCTATAAAAACAAAGTTGAAAACATGCCTTCCAGCTCCTGATCAATTCTGGAGCTTTATTTTTGCATCTGTATCATAACCTACTTACTGGGTAGAACCCATCAGAAAGAGAATTTCCCTCAGAGGGAAAAAGTTACTGGTGGGATAAAATTTCTCATTCAATGCTGACCCCTCAAAACACATACCCTCATGTATGTATACTACTTCAGAGGCCTACAGTCTCCAGGTTCTGAGCCTAGAACCTCTCTAACTGAGGCAGAAGAGAGGTTGGGGAGAGGGCACATACCATAGGCTTCCTCAATGAGGCCACAGTAGGGATTGACCCCTGAGCCACTGCGCTTGCCCTCTTGCTCTCCAAGTCGAAGGATGTTCTCCAGGCCATTGAGGGCCACTTGCACAATCTTTGAATCCATCACAGTCAGCAAGTCGCACAGGGGTTTGATGCAGCCCAGTGAGACCAGGTACCTGGGAGGCAGAGACAAGGCAAGTTCTAAATTAACGCAGGGCAAGGGAGGTGCTGTGGAGCCTCTGGGTCTCCCTCATACACGTCAGTACTCTCAGCAATCCACTCTGAGTCTTCACAAACACCCATCCTTCCAGTGTCCACACTCCCCATGTTACTGGTCTAGCTTCTTTCCATGTAGAGGGCTGCCACTGATTCCTCCTCGTCTAATGTCTCCTTGCTGCAATATTACTTACTCCGAACACATCATTTCCCTGCTTAAAATTTTCACAGTCCAAGCTCTACAGCCACGACAATACAGTCTGGCTCCTCACCTCCCTTTCTAGCTTAGCCTCCTGTTATTCCCTTCTAAGAACACTACATTCCAGTCAAATATGTAAAGGTCTCCAGACTTCTGATTTCTGTGTCTTTACTTACGTTTTTTCCTTTTATGATCTTGTATCCTCCAAAGCTTAACTCAAAAGCTATCACTTTTCTCCCAAGGTCTTTATATACTGAATATACTCTGCTTCCTAAGTTACATGCTGAAGGCAAGACACTTCTCCAAATCTTACCACTCATACTCAGGCTGATGATGGAAACCAAAATCAGAGAGCAAACATATACAAAATTGCTTTCTATTTGCTTTTCCCAAGAATCAAAATGATTTCCCAAAGAAGCTGCTTTGATAGAGCCATAACATGGTCTTCCTTCATTTGTATGGATAACTAAGAATTACACAGATTTAAATTCTCTGGAGGGTAGAAAGAGGCAGAACAGAGATGGATGTCTGTGTCAGGTTCCATTCTCCAGGAGGGAGAAGAGGTACATAGTTTATAGGAATCTGTTTCAGATTCCAGTGCTACACTCTAGCAGCTTAAACCAGTTAAACCCTGCTGAAAGAGGGCAGATCTATTCCATAAAAAGCAGTTTGAAGATCACATGTATACCATGAACCAAGAGGTAGGGTATAAATATCACTTAAGACAATGGGAAAGGAGTGTAATACCTGATTTGCTCAGGGGTTCCTCCTGATGTGGCATTGGTGATGGCCCAGGCTGCCTCTTTCCTTGTACGGAACTCTGCTTTCTGAAGGATTTCGATCAACACAGGGAAGATATTTGCATCTATGACAGCCTGAGAGAGAATCGGGGAGGGGTAGAGGGGAGTGTGGAGAGACAGGGGGCACGCAGAAGGAAGAAAGTCACTTCAAGAAGAATAAGAAAATCCAGACCACAAATCAGCTAAGATATAGACATCTTTCCCTTTCTGGGAATCCTTTGTTCTTCCCATACAGGTGAGAGGCTACAGAGGAACCTGACTTCTGCTACAGACTCTCTGACCAATAACATACATTGACCCCAATTTCTAAAGGGAAACAAATTCTTTCTTCTGGAAGCAGATATCCCACAACGTCTCAGGCTCCCAGGTCTTTCCACCTGCCAATCCACCCCTACCCCCTCATTCCCTCCTGCTTGTTCTACCTGTATCTGAGCCCTGTTGCCAGCAGTGATATTAGAAATGGTCCAGCAAGCTTCCTTTCGGATTGACTCTTTAGAGCTGCTCAGTAAGTGGAGGAGGCAAGGGAGGGCAGAACAGTTAAGAATGACCTAGAACACCAAAAGCATAGGCAACAAAAGAAAAATCAGATAAATTGGACTAAACTAAAAACTTTTGTGCACAATATACTATCAACAGAGTGAACAGATAACCACAGGATGGGAGAAAGTATATGCAAATCATATATCTGATAAAGATTAATATCCATTATATATTAAAAAGAACTCTTACAACATCAAAAACTGAACCCAATTTAAAAATGAGCAAAGGACTTAAACAGACATTTCTCCAAAGAAAATATACAGATGGCCAATAAACACATGAAAAGATGCCAAACATCACTAATCATTAGGGAAATGCAAATCAAAACCTTAGTGACATATGACTTCATGCTTACTAGGATGGTTACTCTCAAACCTAGACAATACAAGTGTTGGTAAGGATGTGGAGAAATTGGAACCATGTACATTGCTGGTGGGAATGTAAAACGGCACAGCCAGTGTGTAAAACAGTATGGTGGTTCCTCAAAATTGTAAACATACAATTATCATGTGATGTAGTAATTCCATTTCTGGGTATGTACCTAAAAGAACTGAAAGCAGGGACTCAAACAGATACCTGTATGCCAATTTTCAATGCACCACTAGCCACACTAGCCAAAAGGTGAAAACAACCCAAGTGTCTATCAACAGATGAATGGATAAACCAAATGTGGCATGTGTACAATGGAATATTATTCAGCCATAGAAAGGAATGTAGGTGTGACACATGCTATAATATGGATGAACCTTGAAAACATTATGCTAAGCGAAATGAGTGACACAAAAGGATATGTATATATGGTTCTGCTTACATGAGGTACCTAGAGTAGTCAAACTCCTAAGAGACAGAAAGTAGTATGGTGGTTACCAGGGGCTGAGGGAAGGGGGAAATGAGAAGTTATTATTTAAAGGGTACAGAGTTTCAGTTTGGAATGATGGAAAAGTTGTGGAGGTGGAGGGTGGTGATGGTAGAACAACAATGTGAATGTACTTCATGCCACAAAATTGTATACTTAAAAATGGTTAAGAACAGTATATTTTATGTTATGAATATTTGTACATACAGGCACACATACACACACACAAGAATGGCCTAGAAAATGAGTGTGGGCTTCTGTGAGATTGCTCACTTGTAAGAAATTTGTTAAGAATCCCACAGAATTATGCAAGCTACTCAAGACCCAAAGAATGCTCAGATCTCTAGCCTTTGAACAGAGAAACACCGTATACTGGGCCCTCACTGGAGATGTCAGTAACACAAGACTAACATGAGGTAGTGTCCATGGGATCCTAAAGGTCTAGGAAGTAGGGGTGAGGTTCATAGCTTATTTCAAAGATATCATAATAATTACTTTACAATGTCCCAAGTAGTAAGTCAGATTATTCTATTTAGTTTTCCTTCAACAGCACCCAGTGGATGATGACTTGCTTCCAATTTATAGAAGAAATGAAAGCAACCAAGTTGCTCACAATCAATAGAAAGTGGCAGCTAGAATTTTTCACTCAGGCTCATGCTTTCTCTCCTAGATCATGTTGCCTCCCATCAGGACCAAAGTCTGTGGCAGGGAAGGATTTTGTTCATAGACAGCTCTCTTCCTCCTCCTTACCTGCGTCTGGATGTCATCCCCGGTGACGATGTTACCCACAGCTCTCAGGGCAGGAGAAGCCACTTTGTTATCATTGTGCCTACAGAGGAGGGCGATCTGATCAGTAGGGAGCCAGCATGTTGCATTCAGCTCTGCTGACCATCAAGGCTGGCAGCACTCATGGCTCCAGACCATTGGATAGGGCAGCAGACTGCTGACTGCATTTCTGAGCTTAGAGAAGCTTAGGGAATATGTACCCTTTCTACCAGATATCACTCACATTAGAAGCTCTACCAATCTCCGGCAGACTCCAGAGTCTATGACTGCCTGGATCTTCTCGTTGGGGCCATCAGACAGATAAGAAAGGGCCCAGCAAGCATCTGCCAGCAAGTCCGAGTCGCTGCTGAAGAGTAGGCGAGACAGCACAGGCAAACAAGGGGAGACCTGTTGGAAGCAGAGTGAGAAGGACTCATAGGGGGACAGGGTTACATCAGCTCTACCATAACCCTAACATTGCCAAGCCCTCCTCTACAAGCAAGTCTAAGACCTGGAGATTCCTACGACATTAAACCATCAGGCCCACATTTTCACTCTGCCATCCTGCACATGAGATTACCTAATTCACTGACAATTGCATCTTTCAGTCCCCCATGTATTGAGACTCTAAGGGGTTCCCAAAAGACTTGAAAACCCCCATATCCTCCATATGAAGAAATCTGCTGATAACTCAGGAACTGGTAAGAAGCTCTCTTACCTTTGCAAACTCTGGGGGTGGGTTCTTCCCTCGGCAGAGGTTTGACAGGGCCCAGACTGCATTCCGTGTCATTGTCAGCCGTGTGGACTTGGTAAGGAGTCTGTAGGAAACAGGAACAGCAAAGCCAGATCCTGAGCAATGATGCCCTTTGCATAGAGCTGTTCCTATGAACCTCAGAAGCAAATCCAATCAGACCTCTAGGACTCCAGCAGCCTGATTCTCTCTTCCTACCCACAGACCTAAGTTAAGTGGGCCTGTTCGGCTCAGGAGGCCAATTTACATCTTCAGAGGACTAGGACCAGACGCAAACAGTCAAGCCCGTAACTACTAAGGACAGACAGAGGGCTGGACCTTGAGTAAGCATGCCAAGCGTTTATGAGGACATACTGTGCCCCAAACTGTGGCCACAAGTTCTAAACAAGGAGTATCGTTCTTTTGGAAATAAAAGCTGGTTTAGTGTGAGAGCTTTAGCTTTGTGGTATGGAATGTTTTTCTGCGACAGGCCCAAGAAAGATTTATAGTAGTAGCCTATGAGATTGTGGTCTCTGAAGAAGAGCTCACCCCTCTGTTTTGGTTTGGATGTAGCTCTGCTTTAAGTGTATGGGAGGAAAGGATGGGAGCAGCCACATGACCCTGCATGAGGTCTTATATCTGTGGTTTACAACAGAGTTCTCTAGCGTACCTATGCATAAACCCACAGCAAATCAGTGCATTCCATAGAGAAGGCTGGGATTTCCCGGATGTGCTGATCCTGCCTCTCTCCCCTGGCTCAACAATAAGGCAGGTATGAGGAAGGTGAGATTCGACAGTGCTATCAAGTGAGGAAGCACAGGATCCTCTTTGGAACAGATCAGTAGCACAATCTTCTTACTCTCAAAAGGTATCTATCTATTACTCTGGCAATCAGAATGCACTTCTAGCATTTTTGTATTTACTCGTATCTTAAGGTAAGCTGTCCCCCTTCAAAGATCTGCCACATAGCTGCCCTACAGACAGATGCCCCATGTGCAGACGATAATAATTACTCACGTTAACAAAGGATTAAGGATGGAACAGTTCAAGACATAATCTCGGCAAACGGAGCTGTCTCCAGCTATATTTCCCAGTGCCCAGACTGCCTAAAAAAGAAATGGTGGAACTGTCATCCACAGAGTGACACCCACCAGTAACCCGGACAAACAACCTATCAAGGCCTGAAACACACTAAACCTTGTTGACATCCTCATTGAACACCTGCTATATGAGGACTTTTCCTGAGAGTTCCTGGTTCAGTGAGAAAGACAGGCTGACACTGTACTGCAGCCAGAGAGGCCAAACTAAGACTTCCTTATCTCTATTCAGAAAACAAGAAAATGATGGGAAAATTGCATTCCTGTAGCCTCATGGGACCAACCTCCACAGAGGAAAAAACTCTAGTACCACTCCACTTCTATTCAACCAGTGAAACTCCAGTGGAAGAAACAGAAGTCTTTATGATCTGTAGATGCTGAGAAATGGGTACGGCAGTCTTTTCCCCAATACCACCTCTGATGACAAATGTGTGGATTTTTTTTCCCACATCAGCAATCAATTCTCTGACACTAACCTGGAGTTAGTGCAGATCTCACAGGTTAAGGGCTCAGTCCCACGAGACTGCCCTCACTTTAGACACCAGTTGCAATTCCCAAGTGCCACCCGTACTTCTGACTGACTGACTATGAATTCAGAAGTTCCACCATCTCCTCCTAAGGGTCAATAATTCACTAGAATAATTCACAGAACTCAGGAAAACACTTTACTTATGTTAGTCAGTTTACTGTAATAGATGTAACTCAGAAAGAGCTAAACGGAAGAGATGCACAGGGCAAGGTATGGGGTGAGGAGTGGAGGGTCGCACAAAACTTCCAAGCCCTCTCCACCCACGGCACCTTCCCAGCACACTGATGTGTTCACCAACCCACAAATTCTCTGAATCCCACTGCTTAAGATTTTTCTTAACAACCAAATCACCCCCTCTAACTTCCCTGGGGAAGATGAGGTGGGGAAGTCGGATGGGGCGGGGCTGAGAGTTCCCATCCTCCAATCCCCTGTCTGGTCTTTCTGATGACCAGCCCTCCTACCCTGAAGCTGTCTAGGGACTCCATTCTGAGTCACCTCATTAGCCAAGACTCAGGTGTGTTCCAAAGGGGCTCTTTGGGAATAACAAAAGACACTTCTATCACTCAGAAAATGCCAAGGTTTTTAGGAGCTCTTTGCCAGGAACTGGGGATATAGATAAAATACACTTTTTATTACACCACAGGTACCAACAAGAATTAAGCTAAATTTGAGCATTACCTGTTCTTGTACATCCTCAAAGTCTGAGTTAAGCAGCTCTATAAAAATGGGGACAGCCCCTGCTTCAATGACAATTTTGGTCTGCTGAGAGGTTCCAGAGGCAATGTTCGTTAGAGCCCAGGCAGCTTCAAACTGAAAGTAAGATTAAAGCCATAATTGAGAGGTCATTCCATACAGGGCAGCCATACCTACCAGCTGGCTCGGAGCAGTGAGCCTCCTGCCCCCGACTGGGAAAACAAACAAACAAACACAAACAAAACATAAGCCTTTTCCTTTCCCCCCTTTAAATGACAGGAAGTGGTACTGGCAGTGACGTAACACGATGGGAAGACGAAGCTGGGCTCCCGTGGTCTCAGGTCTAGTCCTGCACTACCACAGCACCCACAAGTCCTTGGGCAAGTCACTTTTTTGTCTCCTGAACTTCACTTTTTTCATTTCTGAAACCAGGGTAAGACTGAGATGGGTCTCTCAAAGTTCCTTTCAGCTAACTTTCTGTTAAGTTCCAATAGATTGACTCATTACCCATTTCCAAGAAGAGAAACCCAGAAAAGCTAAATGGTTCACCTCAGGATTAGAAGTGGACTAGAACCTCTAATTTAAAATATGTATTTATAATTTATAATATAACCTCTGAATAATCACTCTGTCATATTCTGGTATCTTTCCTTGGAGACTTTTAGGGAAGAGACTGTGGCTCTCCTATTTGAGGCCAGGACCTCTGAGGTAATGGCATCTCTTAAATGTTTCCTCGTATCTTGTCTATATCCTAAGATATGTGTCTGTAGAAACATCCTACTGCAATTTCTTGGCAAAGGGGCTTTTATCTGGTACCTCTCCACCCTAGGCCTCACCTGTAATGTACAATTCTCATTCCTCTTCAGAAATTCCACAAACCGATCCACCACTCCCGGAGTGTTGATAACTTCATCTATTGGAGGACTAGGCTCTGGAAGAGGGACAAAGGAAGGAGAGGAAAAAATCAGGTAAGGCTCTGGCCTTCACTGGGGTCAGTCCACCATTCTTCCTTGACACTCCTGACCATCTTTATAAACATTCTCAAACTCCCTTTTGGTGAGATAGTTTTAACAATAGCTAGTCATTTTCTAACTGTATAAAATAGCTGGGGTGGCAATACTAATTTAAGAATGCTCACCTATGGTTTCCTAAACCTAAGCAAGTAAGTAACGTTACTGATCTAAGCAAGTAAGGAATTGAGAGAAGACCAAGGGAGGAGCAACCCAAATCTAAACACTTTGCTTCTAAGACCAGCATTTTTTGCTGGGAGGAAGAAAAGTCAAGGAGTATTCTTCCTACCACATATTAAATTTTTAATGAGCATGAAGTATATGCTGGAATAGGTACCAAGGACACAGTAGTGAACAAAACCAAAAGTCTCTGCCCTCATAGAGCTTACATCCTAGTGAGAAGGGACATGCTATTATGTTAGAAAGTAATAAGTATAATGGGGAAAAAATAGGTATAGTTGGGTAAGGAGATTAAAAATGTAAAAGGTAGGATATGATCATAGAAATTAAGGCGCTGTCACATAGATATCTGCAAGGAAAGGATATCAGGCAGAGGCAACAGCCAGTGCAAAGGTAAGAATGTGCCTGGCTTGTTGATCAGGTCAGTGAGAAGAAATAAGAAGCTGAATCATGTAGGGCCTCTCTGGGGAGGACTAGGCTTTGTACCTTTGGAGAGCAGTTTCCGGAATTTCTGTGTGGTTGCTAACTGCAGGTCAGAATCATCAGAAAAGAGCATCTCCACCATCTCTCTTGTGATCACGCTCTCCTACAACATAAAACGGGTTCAAGACTTTGCAGACCAACACTAGAGCCATATATGAGCACATAATTCTGCTTGGCATCCTGCTTTCTAAAGACTCAAGGGCAAGAGGCAGGCGTAACTGCAGGTGCAGGTGTTTAATCCATAGCTGCTTCAAGTTGGGACATCTGGAAGTGACTGAGGAAACTGATGGCTTCCCTTAAACGTTTTCTCTGGTGTTTCCATCGGAGATGAATCCTTGTTGACTCCTTAAGTGACCAGCTATAAACAGGCCCATGGAATAAAGAGCTTATATAGCATGATTGTCAGTGAAGTTACTAGATGACGTGAACTGCCCAATTCCTGTTCTGTGGAAGCAGGTACTTTTCAGGCCTGCCTGAAACACATGCAAGGTTCTTACCCCAGTGGTAGAGCTCACATAGGAGTCCATAAGGAGACTATCAAACATGGCGGCTTCTTCATTAATCAGCTCCACATTTCTCCGTTTAAAAAGCTGAAAGTAAAGAGAAGAAATGATGGTAAGACTACTCACTGAAACAAAACAAAGAATGACCAAATGTTAAATTATGGTGTAACTGTCAAAGAAATGCTAGTGTATGGGAAAATGCCAAACTTAATATACTGATATGGGAAGAT